AGGGCAGGGAGTGCAGCCCCGGTGCAGCTGGGAAGGCAGCCTCGGCTGGGAACGGAGCCCAGTGACTGGGACTGATGCCTCAGTGGGACCGGCAGCCTGAACCTTCACTGGTCCGGCGAACTCCCTGGTTCAGGACTGCTCAGGTCCTGAGGGTGCCACACCAGGGAGGTCCAATCTGTACCTGTTTGACTTTCTAACAACAAAAAACCTTAAGTTTTGGGCATCAGGGCTGTGATTGTGGGTAATGGCACAACAGTAATAGAGAGCAAAAAATGGTTTTAGATGTGGGGTATGTCTACACTGTGATCACAGCGTGTGATTTCTGCTTGCATGGTCAGAGCTGAGCTAGTTTTAATCTAGCTCGCTCGGATACTGGAGCAGTGAAGCCATGGCAGCAGGGACTGCACAAACCCACTCAAAACTCCAGGTAAATACTTGAATGGTGGGCCCAACGGATGCCTGTGATGCTGCAGCTTCTCTTCTGTGGGTACCCAAATGAACCAGATTAAAGCTAGGTTGAGTACGTCTACATGAGATGTGATTACACCTGATGCCTGCATTGTGGACATACTCTTAGGGTGTGTCAACACAGCAAAGTTATTTCGGAATAACAGACCAAGACTTCAAGAGGGTTCAAAAAAGAACTAGGTAAATTCATGGAAGTTAGGCCCATCAATGGCTTTTAGCCAGAATGAGTAGAAATGGTGTCCCTAGCCTCTGTTTGTCAGAGGATGGGAATGGGTGACAGAGGATGGATCTTGATGATTCCCTGTTCTAGTCACTCCCTCTGGAGCACCTGGCATTGGCCACTGTTGGAAGACAGGATACTGGGCTAGATGGATCTTTTACTCCAACCCAATATGACCATTCTTATGTTCTTGGGGAGTGAGATACCATGCAGAGGAAAATATCTTATATCTTAAAAAAAAAATCAGTGGAACCTAATCTGAAACTACGGCATGAATCATAACTGTAAGGGTATGTCTACACTAGCTCTTTAATTCGAGCTAGGTAGGCAAATGAGGGCAACCGGAGTTGCAAATGAAGCCCGGGATTTAAATATCCCGGGCTTCATTTGCATATTCCCGGGCACCGCCATTTTTAAATCCCCCTTAGTCTGAACTAACTGCCCCGCGGCTAGACGCGGCAGTTAAATGTTAATCTGAACTAACTCCTTGGTTTGAATTAACGTTTAACTGTCGCGTCTAGCTGCGGGCAATTAGTTCAGACTAAGGGGGATTTTAAAATGGTGGCGCCCGGGAACATGCAAATGAAGCCTGGGATATTTAAATCCTGGGCTTCATTTGCAACTCCGGTTGCCCTCATTTGCCTATCTAGCTCGAATTAATGAGCTAGTGTAGACATACCCTTATATTAAAGAAAAAGTCATGTTGCAAGGAAATAATTATTTAGAATGATCCTCGCATTATGGACTTTGATCTTTAATCTTTTTCACTCTCTTCCCCTAGGTCTTGTAGCATACAGACAGTGCTGTGGCATCTACTTTTGTTCAGAAAAGAGGACAATATTAACAAATGTAAGATTTTAAATTATCCTAGTGGTTTGATACCTGCAGATTCACTAGTGAAACAAATACAACTTCATTATGTGATCGGCACAGAGTCTTATAGCAATTAGCGTCACAAGGAAATTTACAATTCAGGAGACTTCCAACCCAATTTCTAAGTAACATAAAAACTACCATACTGCTTCAAACAGTAGCCAGCAGCAGATACTTCAGAGGAAGATACAAAAAGTCCTGTGGTGCATAGATATAGGATAATCTACTGCCCTGGAGATAAAGTTTCCTCCTAATCCCTAATAGTCTAGATTGACTTTAATCCATGAAATAGGAGATTTTATACTCCATCTGGAACCTCTAAATCTCAGACGACCCATCATCTCAGGCACTGAGATTATCTGGTTCCCATTTTTTTCCTCTTTTCCTTTCCCTCCCCAACCCCTCTCATTCTATGCTATTTATTTGGAACTAGGACCCCTTAAACTCCATACACCTGAAGTAGTGGGTTGTGCCCAAGAAAGCTCATGATATTCTCTACATTTTTTGTTAGTCTTTAAGGTGCTGGCAGGACTATTAGCTGTTTTTTAAGCTTTTTCTTTTTTTAAAAAATATGGATAGTCTTGTTATACATCCACGTGTACAATTCTACTTGCCCAATGTACAAGAACAGTGTGCCTGCCATTCAACCACTGAATCTTAAAAGTGTCCACCTATAAAATGGCACAGAAAAGATCAGCACCAGCTGGGAAAGAATCATAGACTACTGGACCAGGAAGGGACCTCCAGAGGTCATCAAATCCAGTCCTCTGCTCTCATGGGAGGACCAAGCAACATCTAGACCAGGGCTACTCAACTTTGGAAACCCCAGGGGCCACAATGATACTAATAGCACATGCCAAGGGCCACAACTTAAGTGTGGTTGTATATACTTGCAAATAGCTTCTTTCACACGGATGGGCATGAATACAAAAATTCAGGCAAGACTACACAATACACAGGCCCCATTTAATTTAGTTCTGCTGATATTCATAAAATGCAATATTTACCCAATTTTCACCCATATGACAGCACTTTTAATGAGCAATGACAGTCCACCAATTTAACTACTAAAACACATATCAACAGAAAACATTATATTAATTAACTTTTTTGTTTTGGCTCCCACCTGCGGGCCTCGTGTTGAGCCCTATGTAAATCCAAGCTGCACTGCGGGCCACAAACAAATGGGTCTCTGGCCACATGTGGTCCACAGGCCATGTGTTGAGTAGCCCTGATCTAGATCATCCCTGATGGATGTTTATCTAACCTGCTCTTAAATATCTCCAGTGATGGAGATTCCACAACCTCCATAGGCAATTTATTCCAGCTTTTAAACACCCTGACAGGACGTTTTTCCTAAACTTCCCTTGCTGCAATTTAAACCCATTGCTTCTTGTCCTATCCTCAGAGGTTAAGGAGAATAATTTTTCTCTTTCCTCCTTGTCACACTGGGATGGATTGGAGGAATGCTGCCCAGCACGCGATGACTAAAGGGTTAAACTCAGGTAGCTAGCAGGGGGTGTTGGCAGAAAGCCAGAAAAACAAATGGGAAAGACAGTTAAAATTTGAATGGTATATAGATACCTGCTGCCATTTCTCTTTGTGAGAGTTCTACATTAAGGGCTGGAGAGAGCAAGATGCAGTCATCAGAATAACCATGCCTACAAGGAATACTGGGCATCTTTCCTGAAATGTGATGCCCAGTCTTGGACACAATACTCCAGTTGAGGCCTAATCAGCACAGAGTAGAGAGGAAAAAGGACTTTTTGTGTCTTGCTCACAACACTCCTGTTAATGCAACCCAGAATGATGTTTGCTGTCACCCTCATTGACTCATATTTAGTTTGTGGCTCACTATTACCCTTAGATCTCTTTCTGCAGTACTCCTTCCTAGAGAGTGACTTGCCATTTTGTATGTTTTTATGTCACTTCCCATTTTGAATGAGAAGGAGCAATAACTTATGTAATTAACTATT